TTCCCATTCCCATTCCAGGTGTCCCAGCTGTGCCTGTATCCCATTCCTATTCCAGGTGTCCCAGCTGTGCCTGTATCCCATTCCCATTCCCGTTATTCCAGGTGTCCCAGCTGTGCCTGTATCCCATTCCCATTATTCCAGGTGTCCCAGCTGTGCCCATATCCCATTCCCATTCCCATTCCAGGTGTCCCAGCTGTGCCTGTATCCCATTCCCATTCCCATTATTCCAGGTGTCCCAACTGTGCCTGTATCCCATTCCCATTCCTGTTATTCCAGGTGTCCCAGCTGTGCCCATATCCCATTCCCATTCCCATTCCAGGTGTCCCAGCTGTGCCCATATCCCATTCCCATTCCCATTCCCATTATTCCAGGTGTCCCAGCTGTGCCTGTATCCCATTCCCATTCCCGTTATTCCAGGTGTCCCAACTGTGCCTGTATCCCATTCCTGTTATTCCAGGTGTCCCAGCTGTGCCTGTATCCCATTCCCATTCCCATTCCAGGTGTCCCAACTGTGCCCGTATCCCATTCCCATTCCCATTCCAGGTGTCCCAACTGTGCCCGTATCCCATTCCCATTCCCGTTATTCCAGGTGTCCCAGCTGTGCCCGTATCCCATTCCCATTCCCATTCCAGGTGTCCCAGCTGTGCCGTGGTCTTCGGGGGGGTGAATTCCATCAAATCCCACATCCAGACTTCCCACTGCGAGGTTTTCCACAAGTGTCCCATCTGTCCCATGGCCTTCAAGTCGGCTCCGAGCGCCCACGCCCACGTGTACACCCAGCACCCGGGATTTGGGAACCAGCAATCCAAGTGAGTGGGAATTCCAAGGAATTCTGGCATCCCAAGGGTCGTCCCGGAGAAACGGGAGCCGCCCCTGGGGAGGTTGGGGTTGGATATCGGGGGAATTCCTGCCTGGAAAGGGGGCTCAGGGGGCTGGGAGGGGGGTGTCCAGGGTACAATCCCTGGGAGTGGCCATGTGTGTGTCACACGTGTGTTCATGTATGTTTTTACCTCTGGGCTGATCTATAAATGTGCCATGTGTGACACAGTGTCCATGTGTGATCCTGTGTGTTCCCATGTATGACACATGTATGTTTTCCCCCAGGCTGATCTACAAGTGTGCCATGTGTGACATGGTGTCCATGTGTGTGTCACACGTGTGTTCATGTATGTTTTTACCTCCAGGATGATCTATAAGTGTGCCATGTGTGACACGGTGTCCATGTGTGTTCCTGTGTGTTCCCATGTGTGTGTCACACGTGTGTTCATGTATGTTTTTCCCCCCAGGCTGATCTACAAGTGTGCCATGTGTGACACGGTGTC